TGCTTTTTCCCTTGATGGCCCATGACTCCTTCCTTCTTCATTTGGATCTTGCTCCTCATCAGAGAGGCCTTCTATGATTGTATCACTTAAAATAGCATCTCTGTTTATCTCACGTATATTTCACTTGCTGGATTTTTTTTTTTAATAGCATTTATCACAACCAGACAATTATATTTATTTTATTATAATTCCCAACTGGGCTATAAGCTTCATGGGAGGATGGACTTTGTTTTCTTCACTGCCTTATTTCCAGAACTTGACATTAGTACTTGACATGTAGTAGGTATTCAAACGTGTTTCATTAATAAATGAGTGGTAGTGATATATTTGATTAGAGAGGTTTAGCTTTCTTTCTCATACATTCTCCTACTTAACTTCATAACCATAGTGATGGAAATAGTATTAGTTTCAGTTTGCAGATGAGAAATAAGCTAAGAAAGGTTTAATGATTTCCCTAAGGTCAACATCTCAAGTAGTCCCTTAGGCCCTCAGATCCCTAAGTCCAATGTGGTTTCCACATACTATGCTTAGTGTTAGGTACTTTTGTTGCTGGTGGCGGTGGTGATGATGCTGAGCAGCAATAGTGGGCAGCTTGGCCTTGGTGGTTTTCACGGGTGTTATAAGTCATATATAGACAAATTGACAGGGGTAGAGAATCCAGCAGCTGCTACAGTGGCTGCCACAAAGCAATTTCACTTTCGTAATCTCACTTGATTCTCCCGATAAACTTGCAAAGTAGCCAGTGCAAGGTTTACTGTCTTTATTGGCCAACACTGTGCCTCATCTCTATTCTGCCCCTTTTCCACTTAGTCCCCCTCCCTTCCCCAGCTAACAGTAATTTTGGGCCCTAGAATTACCTTGTTTGTATTTTGATGTGAACTAATTTTTCAGTTTTCCAAACATTCACTCCACCATTAGAAGTATAGAAACTGACTCTGGAAAGATAATGTACAGATGCGGTAGAAGAGTTATGGTTTTATAAGAGCCCTGTAAAATGCATGAGGCCAGGAAAATGGTTGCTGAATGACACTGAACAAGTGATTTCATCACGGAAGGAAGACTGGGCAATCTACTTCCATAAAGATTTACCACCTCAGAAACCTAGAGGAGGTCACTGAGTCAGAATCGGCTCGATGGCAGTGAGTTTCGGTTTCTGTTTTTTGAGGTGTGTGTTAAAGGAGCCCCCTTAGTGATGCAGTAGTTAAGCACTAGGCTGCTAACTGAAAGGTTGGTGTTTTGAACCCTCCAGTCACTCTGTGGGAGAAAGATGAGGCAGTCTGCTTCTGTAAACATTACAGCCTTGGAAACCCTGCAGAGCAATTCTACACTCCGTCCTGAAGGGTGGCTGCCATTCAGAATCAACTCAGTGGCAATGGGTTTAGTTGGTTTGGTTTGGTGTATATCAAATACTGGAGTAGAGGAAAGACACAAAGGCATAATATAATGTCCTACCTTCAAAGGTTTTGTAGTTTGTGGGAAGGAAAGACATAGATATGTAAGAAGTTAAAAACCAACACCCACACTAGAATAAGTGTTTCAAAATTCTAAATGATTATCAGTGATTATTATAGACCAGAAGTTGTCAAACTTTGCAAAGGGCCAGATAGTAAAATTTTAGGTTTGTTATAAGGTGGTTGTTGTTGTTACATGTTGTTGTGATTCTGTCACAACTGCTCGACTCAGTTGTTGTATCTCAAAAGTAGCCTTAGACTGTAGGATAAATAACCAATAGGCATGGCTGAATTTGGACTCAAGGCCTTAGTTTGCTAACCCCTGCTGCAGCAATAAGTTTTGTAGATTTTGGAAGAGTGAAGGGTCATTTGTGCTTAGGATGGCCGTGGAGGGTTTTACTGCTTAAGCTATGACTTGTGCAAGACCTTAAAGAATTACTAGGATTTGACTGATAGAGAATAAGGATTTGGATAAAAGGACAGAAGAGGCAATATAAAGAATGCTTAAGAGACAGTTGAATAAATCAGCTTGGACACTATCTAGACAGTTGTTTTCTCATTGACTAGATTCTCACTATAGGGGCATTTCTGAACATAAAGACTTAGGTAACTTTGTCCTTAAACTTGTATCCACTACATTGGGCTAGTATAAAGTCATAATGACTCCTACCAGGATTGGAGCATATGCATAAGGGCCTTGACTCACTGCTCTGCTTTCACCCTGCCTTGGTGGTTTTCACAGGTGTTATAAGTCTTATATGGACAAATTGACAGGGTTAGAGAATCCAACAGCTGCTACAGTGGCTGCCACTGTGCTATTCAGATAACAAAGGAACTCTGGTGGTACAGTGGTTAAGGCATTTGACTGCTAACCAAAAGGACATTGGTTTAAACCCACCAGCCACTCCATGGAAGAGAGATGAGACAGTCTGGTTCCATAAAGATTCACAGCCTTGGAAACCCAATGAGGGGTCCTATGAATTGGAATAGACTCATTGACAGAGAGTTTGGTTTGTTTTGGTTTGGTTTGGTTCAGATTCAAGTAACAAATCCCTGGTTGATGCAAATGATTAATGCCCTCAGCTGCTAACCTAAAGGTCAGAGGTTAAAGTCCATCCAGAGAGAGAGGCCTGGAGATCTACTTCTGTAAAATCAGCCGTTAGAGACCTTATGGAGAACAGTTCTCCTTTGACACACCATGGATCACCATGGGCTGGAATTGACTCATCAGCAACTTATATTCAGGAAACAGATATGCTTGGTAGAGTGTGACAATTGAAGGTAATCTCTAGAGTTTGATTGTCTAGATTTACTTCCCGGCTCTGCAACCTATTAGCTTTATAACATTTAGTTAGTCACGTAATCACTGTTAACCTCACTTTCCCCATCAGTGAAATGAGGATATAGCTATTGTTATGAGGATTTAGTAAGATCATTTGTGTTGAGTGCTGAATATAGCTATACTGGCAGTAGTAAAAGCTTAGTAAATGGTAGCTGTTATTTTTATGACCTCTAAATTGTATTGACAACATTAGTGTTGTTTTATTAGACTTTTTTTTTCCCCCTAACTCTTTGTTGTCTTTTTTTAAGTTTTTAAAGTGAATTTATCCTCAGGATAGCTTGCCTATTTCACGTTGTTTAAATAAATTAATCTGTGATCTTTATAAAATGTTGTTGTTGTTGTTGTTGTTATGTGCCATCGAGTCGCTGGTGGGTTTGAACCACCAGCCTTCTGGTTAGCAGTCAAGTGCTTTAGCCACTATGCTACCAGAGCTCCTTAGGTGATGGAAATATTTGTCTGGCTCAGCTTTGTCTCTGGGGAACAATTCTCTCCTTAGAATTCTTAATCACAAGAGCACATCCAAACAAATTGATGATCATAGTTTATGCTGCGTATGTGGCTAAAAATTCCAAGGTAAAAATTTTAGATTAAAATGATTCCAGATTCATAGTGCTTGCAGGTGTACAAGCATATTCTTTCTGTAAAACCAATACATTTTAAACCCAGATCTCAGATAAAGTTCTAAGCAACATGAAGAAACAATCACCCCGCCCCCCCAAAAAAAAAACCCTCACAAGAACACCACCATGAGTGAGATTCAGTAGGAACATAAAAAACTGCAAAGATCTGATCTGAATCAGATCTGCAAAGACTTTAGATATTGGAATTAACTAGACAGACTACAAAATAAACAGATGTAATTTTTAGAAGATGTAAGATAAAGTGTACAAATAAGTATGGTATAGGAATAAGTGATTCATAATTGACTCGCTATTTTAATATAAGAAGAACCAGTAGTGGTAGTAAGGCTTGGTTGTTTGGTGGCTCATATTTTCCTTCCGATGCACAAACACCATCTTACTCACCATTTTTTATTTTTTGGTTTATTCCATTCAACAAACATCTTCCGTACCAAGCACACTATGATAGGCACTGGTAGAGAAGACTACACATACAGATAAGATAGTACTATACTTATCCTTAATGAGCTTATAGTCTACTCTTGCCGTTGTTTTCCAAAGGTGGTCTTTGGAAAGCTGAAGAGAAAAGACAATGGAGTGTACAGAATTATTGACCTAACAAGATATTTTGACTACCATTTTACTGTCCAAGCATAGCCAGATCTGTCCTCCAGCATACCAGTCAGCTCAGTTCACCAGTACCAAAAATTAATCAATGTATCTTGAGTACAGGAATGCCCACCACTTTGGAGTTGTTAAGCCATTTCATTGACAAAGTCTTTTGATACCAGGGATTTTTCCAAGTTCTGGTCTTTCTAAGTTCAGTCTGACTGAGAACTCTGCAGAAATACTTCCCCAACTCACTTCCCAGAGAATTCATTTATTTAAAAAATTGGGGTATTACTTTAATAGAGGAACTATCCTTTACCACAGGCCTTTTATTGCTTTAAGTAGTAATTAAAATTTAACAAAAGTTAATTCTGAAAATCCTAGCCTACTGTAGTAAAGAAATTAATGTATGTATGTATGTATGTATGTATAAGGTCAAGTGAAGTAACTGATATCATGGAAGAACAAAGTACTGAAGAAACATAGGGAAGGAGTTAACATTTGTCTGAGCAGGAGCCTGGGGAAGGCTTCAAAGAGAAAGTGGCATTTAAATAGAGTTGAAAGATGCATAGGATTTTGATCACGAGTAAAGAGGTGGGGATCATGGAGAGTATTCTAGACTGAAAGAATAGCAGGAACAAATGTATAAAAACTTGAAAATATGAGGACTGTTTCACCAGAGATGAGAAATGCAGCTGGAAATCTAGAAAAATGGGACTGTTGCTTCTGTATTGTTAGTGTCTTTGTGGAGCTTCCTCTTCTTGCCTTCTCTGCTCTAGTTTTACCACATTACTGAACATGTTCTTTTGTTCCATGTTGGATGACTCCTGTTGGAATACTTGGAGGGGAATAACTTTGCTGTGAACATTAGTGGAATTGCCAGAAATAAAATATTTTATTTTCATGACTGTGAAACCAAATTTTCACATACATCACTAAATGATAACTTGGAATGGGTGATTGGGGAATGTTTTTCAGGTTGAAAATATCCTCTTGCATGACCGAGGCCACTACGTCCTGTGTGACTTTGGAAGTGCCACCAACAAATTCCAGAATCCACAGACTGAGGGAGTCAATGCAGTAGAAGATGAGATTAAGAAGTAAGCTTCCTCCTTGGAGTTTTGCCTACTTTCGTATCAGCTTATGGGTGATCATTTTCAAGTGAGATCACAACTGCAGCGTATCAGTCAGTCAGATGTACTTTTTACTGAACTCTAAATTGCTTTGTATGGCGCTTTGGTGGTATAGTGGATCAGGGACTTGAGTGCTTGTCAGAAGTTCAAACCCACCAGCTGCTCCATGGAAGGAAGACAGGGTGTTCTACTTCTGTAAAGATTTATGGCCTCAGAAACCCAATGAAGGTTGCTATGAGTCAGAAACGACGCAGTGGCAGTAAGTTTGGTTTTTTCAAATTGCTACATATTCCTTCCTGCAGGAGCTCGGTGGAATTAATGGTTAGTAAAGTTATTGAGGGGAGCTCTGGTGGCGTAGTGCCTAAGACATTTGACTGCTAATCAGAAAGCTGGCGGTTCAAACCCCTAGTCACTCCTCGGAAGGAAGGTTGGGCAATCTACTTCCGTAGTGATACCGCCTTGGAAACCCAAGGAGGGTTTGCTGTGAGTCAGATCTGATTAGACAGCAGTGCGTTTGGTTTGGTTTTAAGGTTATTGAGAAGGAGCTCTGGTGGCGTAGTGACTAAGGCATTTGACTGCTAACCAGAAGACTGATGGGTCAAACCCACCAGCCACTCCTCAGAAGGAAGACTAGACAGTCTACTTCCATAGAGATACTGCCTCAGAAACCCAAGGAGGGGTCGCTGTGAGTCAGAACTGACTCTACAGCAGTGAGTTTGTTTGTGGGTTTTTTTTTTTTTTTTGGAAGGTTATTGAGAAGTCCTGGTGGTGCAGTGGTTGTCTCACTCAGCTGCTAACCAAAAGATTGGAGGTTCAAACCCACCAGCTATTTCTTAGGAGAAAGATGTGTCAGTCTGTTTCTGTAACAATTATAGTCTTGGAATCTCTATGAGGACTTTTTGATCTGGCCTATGAGATTACTATGAGTCGGAATCGACTTGACAGCAATAAGTTTTTTGGTTTTTTTTTTTTTCTTAAGATTATTGAATTATCTACAGATGTTGAACCACTGACCTTGACAAGAAAAAGCTATAGATTTGTGACTCCAGTAAAGATTTTTCATAGGCAACAACTCTTACTATTACTACTAATACATCAATGGTCTGACATGAGCACTTATATCCTGACCCTTCCTCTGCTTTCATGAGTCACCTCAGGCAACCAGTCCTGGGGCATGAAGGCCCTGATGCACAACTGACCACAGTCCCATCTGTGCTTTAGAGACTCATGCAGCCCAAGTCATGTGCTCAGTAACACCAAGATACTCATTATAAGGACATACTTACACTACTCTTCTCTTGAGCCATAGATAAGAGGAAAATTGTTTCCCTGTGTCATCCCTTTTCCAGGAGCAAAGATCAAGGGTTCTCCGTCCCATTCAGCTCCCACCCACCTCAGCCAGAACCCTCATTCTGCCCCTTTCAAGAGCATCCCAACCAATATTACATATCTCTGTGGTAGGCCACATCGAAAGAGATTACTAGTTTTAGAAATTAATGAGCAACACATAGTATCAGACAACAATTTACAGGAAGAAGATTTTGTCATTTGAGGACCCAAGAAAAGTTGCTTCTAGAGTTAATATATAATAGTGCATTCATGTCAGGTCCCCATGTGCTCCTAAGATTAGGACTGCTGTTAGAGGACCACAGGCATGGCAGGGCCCTAACTTGGCAAATTGATTATATAAATGAAAATGATGACTTTTCATTTTATCTGCACTAATATTTTATACTCTCCTCTACAGATAGCTCCCAGGGAACTGGACTCTACTGAAGTTTAAAAATACATATATGTGTATGTGAGTGTGTGTGTATATCCCTGGCAAACAACAACAACATTAATGTATTTAACAAAAAATGAATCTCTTCATTTTAGATACACCACGCTGTCCTACCGAGCACCAGAAATGGTTAACCTGTACAGTGGTAAAATCATCACTACAAAGGCAGACATTTGGGTAGGTGCCAGCTTATCTGTCCATATCTCAGATATCAGCACTCTTGACTGTAGACTCCCAAAGTTAATGCAGACAGTACCATATTGTTGTCCACTTATCTCTCAGGATTATTCTTGAAACGAGACCAACCACTGCTTTTTAAAGCATGTCAAAGATTACTTCAAAGGCCTGTGAAAATTCCTTAGGTGATCTGCCCACGATTTTGTGGTTTTCACATATATGTTACTAGTTCTTAAAAGGAGCTCTGGTAGCATAGTGCCTAAGACATTTGACTGCTAACCAGAAGGCTGGTGGTTCAAACCCACCAACCACTCCTCGGAAGAAAGGTTGGGCGATCTACTTCCGTAGTGATACCTCCTCGGAAACCCAAGGAGGGGTTGCTATGAGTTGGGGCCGACTCGATGGCATATAACAACAACAACAGTTCTTAAAAGAAAAATAGCTGACATACTTGTTCTTTACTGGAGCACACTTTAATAATGATCATAGAAATAATGTAACTCGAGTTGACTAGTGGTATTTAGTTGTAATTTAGTATAGTGGTTTAGTGGTAATTAGTTGACTGATTGAGTATACGGTTCTAAATAGGCCAGTTGTGTGTGGTTTTTATATCTGTTAGTAATTGTGGACAGTACCAGGTCCCTCATTAGAGCCATTTGTGGTAATGGTAACTAAACCACCAATGAGCCATCTGCTTTCTTTCTTTGTTTAGGCCCTTGGATGTTTGCTGTATAAATTATGCTACTTCACTTTACCGTTTGGGGAGAGTCAGGTGGCAATTTGTGATGGAAACTTCACAATTCCTGATAATTCTCGATATTCTCAAGACATGCACTGCCTAATTAGTAAGTATTTCAACTTTCTAGCTTTTATTTTTTTAACCTCTAATCTCCAGAAATAAATTGGGGGATCAAGGATCAAGCAAAAGGATTAGGTTCCAAGAGGAAGGGGCTAGATGCCAAGATAAAGAAATTAGTTATTTGTGGTTGGGAACTCAGAGAAAATGTAATCTCAAAGATGGAAATGGTTATAACAATGGCTAGTGTAAGTGGTAGTTCTTTCACTAGAATCTCAACTCTGTTTCACCCTTGAGCAGACATTCTAACTGTGCTTTGAGCAGTACAGTACTGCTGTGTTCTATAGTTTGTATGGAAGCTTTAGTACCAAAAGAAGTCCAGCTGACTGACATCAAATGATAAGAAATTCATCTTTGCAAGACTGGAAGCAATTTAAACTAAAATGATTGCAGTGCATTGGCTAGAATGAACACGTAATTAAGCTATATAACTTTGAAACCAGATTTTCCTCATTTAATCATTAGATTTTGATAACAAGCACACATTGCTTTATTTAAAATAATGTTTTAAGATCCCCCACTCTTTTGTATCATTGTAACAAGAATATATACTAATGTTTATTAACCAGATATAATAATTTAGTATACACCCCTGTACTAAAATCCTAGTAAACCAGATTTTTTTTTGTCACGTTTCCACATTGGTAAAGTCATTTGACATCCAAGCTTCAACAATTATGCATTACAAATCCTGAGCCACACAGTTTGGGTCTTAGGTGGGGATGTACTAAAGAATGACAGAAGCAGTAAATGTCCATTTGTTAAGGGTCTACTTATACCTCATTTAATTTCTAAAACCCTTTATAAATTAAATAAAGCTTTCTTTTAGCTAAATAACAGATTGGCTTATAAAGAAAACAATATTACCCATGACTACTGTGTTCCTTTAAAAAATCATCTGTATGAGATCAAACAGTCAACATTTACTGTAAGCCAAGACGAGAAAGCAAGGGGACAGGGAAACTAAATTACTGGAAACAACACCAGAACAGTAATAATGAGAAAGTTGACACACTTTGTAAAATGTAACCAATGTCAGGAGCTCTGGTGGCCTAGTGCCTAAGACACTTGACTGCTAACCAGAAGGTGGCAGTTCAAACCTACCAGTCACTCCTCAGAAGGAAGGTTGGGCAATCTGCTTCCATAGTCATGATACCACCTCGGAAACCCAAGGAAGGGTTGCTATGAGTCGAGTCCAACTCCACGGCACTGCTTTTGGTTTTCATTTTTTTTTTTTTTTGGTCACTGAATAAATTGTTTAGAAATTGCTAAATAGAAACCTAATTTGCTTTGTAAACTTTTACTGAAAATATAATAAAATATTTTTTAAAAAATTAAATATAGTTTTATCCATTATAAAATATAAGGAAGCTGAGGCTGAGAAAGTATAGATACCTTACCTAAGCTCATAGCTTTTAAGTGGCTTTGGATGATATTTCCATTGTACCAGTTTTATCAAAAACTGATATTTATTAACAAAAAATGGAAGAGTATTAAAAGGAATGAGTTTGGCATTTAATGGTTATTAGATTGTTTTCAGAGATGAAGCATTATATCTATACTAGAGTGATAGCTATGTAAATGAGATTGAAAGGAAATAGAAGAAAGCTAAATTTAATGTGAAAATGATAGAATTTTTTGGAAATAATTTTGGTTTTTTTTTTAGTATTTGTGCAATAAATTCATGAGAAAAATAATTCCTTATGAATGTCTGTACCATTAACATCTTTCCCAAGCTCTGATCTATTCCATCTTAAAACTGCTTGAAGATTCTACTGTCACACTGCTATGTCTAAAAAAAAATTTTTTGAACATTTTATTATGTCTTAGGTGAAATTTTACATAGTAAATTAGGTTCTCATTTAACAATTTCTGCACAACTTGTTTCATGACATTAGTTACACTTTTCATAATGTATCAACATTTTAATTATTTCCTTTATTTTATCCCCCCCCCCCCTTCTGTTTCTAGTAATCTAGCTTCCTTACCTCTCCTTAGCTTCTCATATTGTTTTAGGGTAAATGCTGACCATTTGGTGTCAAGTAGTTGATTATTTAAGGAAGCACAGTATTCATGGGTGATGTTTATCTTATAATCCAGTCTATTATTTGGATGAAAGGTGACCACTGAGAGTGACTTTTAGTTCCACGTTCAAAAACTTTCTTTGGGCAGTAGTCTCAGGTCTCTAGTCTCTGTCATTCCAGTAATTCTAACCTTTTTCAGGAATTTTGAGTTTTTTGTACATTTTTTTTTCATGTTCTGCCCAGGACTGTCTGTTGTGCCCCCAGTCAGAACAGTTGGTAGTGATAGCCAGGAACTAACTATTTAGTTCTTCTGATCTCAAGCTAGATGAGGCCGTGGTTCATGCAGACTGTTAGTCCGATGGGACTAGTTTCTTATTTGAGTCTTTGGTGTCCTTCACTGTCTTTTGCTCCAGATTAGTAGAGACCAATAGTTGTATGTTATATTGCTGCTTGCAAGCTTTTAAGACCCCAGACACTATTCACCAAACTAGGTTGCAGAACATTGTCTTTATGAAGTTTGTGTTATGTTATGCCAGTTGAGTTAACCCATGAGAACTGTGGTCCCAGGCCTTCAAATCTAGTAAACCTATCCTGAAAGGTGTTTGGTTATGACTAGGCAGTATCTATAATTGTGCCTCCTAAGTGGCTTATTATATATACGAATATATTTGTGACACATACAAACGTGTATACATATACAATGCTGTCAATGATAGGATAATATCCATATGCCTACAAGGAAGACCAGTGAATACTACGATTATTCAAATTTACACACCAATCACCAAAGCCAAAGATGAGAAAATTGAAGATTTTTACCAACTTCCACAGTCTAAAATTGACTGAACATGCAAACAAGATGTCTTAATCCTCACTGGTGATTGGAATGCAAAAGTTGGAAACAAAGATGAATTACCAGTAGTTGGAAAATATGGCCTTGGTGAGAGAAATAATGCTAGAGATCACATGATAGGATTTTGCAAGACCAACAACACAGTCCTTGCAAATACCTTTCTTCAACAACATAAACAATGGCTATACACATGGTCTTCACCAGATGGAGTACTCAGGAATCAGATTGACTACATCTGTGGCAAGAGGCGATGGAGAAGCTCAGTATCTTCAGCTAAAACAAGGCCAGGAGCTGACTGAGGAACAGACCATCAACTGCTCATATGCAAGTTCAAGTTGAAGCTGAAGACAATTAAAACAAGTTCACGAGAGCCAAAATATGACCTTGATTATATCCCTCCTGAATTTAGAGACCATCTAAAGAATAGATTTGATGCATTGAACACCAGTGGCTGAAAAACCAGAGGAATTATGGGATGACATCAAGAACATCATCCATGAAGAAAGCAAAAGGTCATTAAAAAGGAAAGGAAGAAAAGACCAACATGAATGTCAGAAGAGACTCTGAAACTTTCCCTTGAGCGGAGAGTAGTGAAGCAAATGGGAGAAATGACAAGGTTAAAAGAGCTGAACAGAAGATTTCAAAGAGCAACTCGAGAAGACAAAGTCAATTATTATAATGAAATGTGCAAAGACCTGGAGTTAGAAAACCAACAGGTAAGAACACGCTCAGTATTTCTCAAACTGAAAGAACTGAAGAAAAAATTCAAGCCTCGAGTTGCAATATTGAAAGAAATTCTATGGGCAAAATATTGAATGATGCAGGAAGCATCAAAAGAAGATGAGAGGAATACAGATTCACTGTACCAAAAAGAATTAGTTGATGTTCATCCATTTCAGGTGGTAGCATATGATTAAGAACCAGTGGTATTGAAGGAAGAAGTCGAAGCTGCACTGAAGGAATTGACAAAGAGCAAGACTCCAGGAATTGACAGACTACCCACTGATATGTTTCAACAAATGGATGCCCCACTGGAGGCACTTACTTGTCTATGTCAAGAAATTTGGAAGACAGCTACCTGGCCATCTGACTTAAAGAGATCCATATTTGTACCCATTTCAAAGAAAAGTGATCCCACAGAATGTGGAAATTATCGAACAATAACATTAATATTACATGCAAGTAAAATCTTGCTGAAGATAATAGAAAAATGGTTGTAGCAATACATTGACAGAGAACTTGTAGAAATGCAAGCTGGATTCAGAAGAGGACATGGAGTGAGGGGTATCATCGCTAATGTCAAAGGGATCTTGGCTGAAAGCAAAGAATACAAGAATGATGCTTACTTGTCTTTTATTGACTATGCAAAAGTGTTTGATTGTGTGGATCATAACAAATTATGGATATCATTGATAAGAATGGGAATTCCAGAACACTTGTTTGTGCTTATCAGGAACCTGTACATAGACCAGGAGGCTGTCCTAACAGAACAAGGGGATACTAAAAAAACCAAACTCACTGCCATCAAGTCTCTTCGACTCATAGCAACACCTCCTTGGGTTTCTGAGGTGGTATCTCTATGGAAGTAGATTGCCCAATCTTCCTTCTGAGGAGTGGCTGGTGGATTTGAACTGCAAGCCTTCTGGTTAGCAATCAAATGCCTTAGGCACTACGCCACAGATACTACATGGTGTAAAATCAGGAAGGGAGTGCATCAGGGTTGTATCCTTTCACCATACTTGTTCAATCTGTATAAGATGTATAAGAAGAATATGGCATCAGGATTAGAGGAAGGCTCATTAACAACCTGTGATACACATATGACACAACTTTGCTTACTGAAAGTGAGGATGACTTGAAGCACTTACTGGTAAAGACTAAAGACTTCAGTCTGCAGTATGGATTACATCTCAACATAAAACAAAAACCTCACAACTGGACCAATAAGCAGCATCACAATAAATGGAGAAAAGATTGAAGTTGTTAAAGATTTCACATTACTTGTTTCCACAATCAACACCAATAGAAGCAGCAGTCAAGACATCAGACAATGTCTTGCACTGGGCAAATCTGCTGCAAAAGACTTCTTTCAAGTGCTGAGGAGCAAAGACATCTCCTTGAAGATTAAAGTGCGACTAACCCAAGCCGTGGTATTTTCAGTCACCTGTTATGCATGTGAGATCTGGACAATGAATAAGGAAGACCAAAGAAGAGTTAATGCTTTTGAGTTGTGGTATTGGAGAAGAATACTAAAAATACCATGGTCTGCTAAAAGGACTAACACATCTGTGCTGGAAGAAGTGTAGCCAGAATGCTCCTTGGAAGCCAGAATGGCCAGACTTCGTCTCACTTACTTTGGTCATGTTGTCAGAAGGAACTATTCCCTGGGGAAGGATATCATGCTTGGTAAAGGGAGGGTCAATGAAAAAGGGGAAGGCCTTCAACGAGATAGATTGACACAGTGGCTGCGACAATGGGATCAGGTATGGCAAGGATTATGAGGCTACCACAGAACCGGGCAGTGTTTCGTTCTGTTGTGCATAGGGTTGCTGTAAGTTGGAGATGACTTGATGGCACCTAACAACAACATACATATAACTACAGATATACCTACCTGTATATGTACAACCATATGCTCACATGGGCCTTCCTATACACATATAATCATACCCATGTCTAAAGTTAATTTAATTGCCATTGCTTCCTCACAATTTACACTTAATAACCTTCTCATCATTTCAGTATCTGTCAGTGGTGCCACCATTCAAGCCGGATGATTGAAACTTAAATTTGTCTTTGGCTCTAGCAGGAGTCTTAGGGTAGTCCAAACAGGTAATGTACTTGGCTGCTGACTGAAAGTTTGGATGTTCAAGTCCTCCTAGAGGCACCTTGTAAGAGAGGCCTGGCAATCTGCTGCTTCTGAAGAATCAGCCACTGCCAAGCCTATGGAACACAGTTCTGCCCAACACATGGGGCTGCCATGAGTTGGAGTTGACTCAGTCGCAGCTAGTTGGATCTCAAAAGCAAGAGAGAAGGAAAAGCCAGTCATTTCCTGTTGCTATTGTTGTTAGGTGTCCGTGAGTCAGTTTTGACTCATAGCGACCCTGTGTACAACAGAATGATACACTGCCTGATTCTGCGCCAGCCTCACTATTGTTGCTGTGTTTGAGCCCATTGTTGCACCCACTGTGTCAGTCTATCTCATTGAAGGTCTTCCTCTTTTTTGCTGACCTTCTGCTTTACCAAGCTTAATGTCCTTCTCCAGGGACTGATCTCTCCTGATAACATGTCCAAAGTACGTGAGTTATTTCCTACATTCTCTGCATTAATTCTTTCTTTAGAATTTCTCCTATTCCCATTCCATTCTCCGTAATCTCTTTACTGTCACTATACTATATGTAGACCAGCTCATGCCTCTAGTAGTGGATTGGACACTAGCCTTTCTTCTTCTTCAATTCATCCAACACACCCTCACCACCAGATTAATTTTACAGAACCCTATATCTCACATCCCTGTTCAGTAAACTTCAGGGCATTCTTTCCTTCCTCCGAGTCCTTCTTTGGTAAGACAGTTTTCTCACCATAAAAGTCCTTTCCTCTCCTTTCCCCTGCCTAAGTAAATTCTGCCCTGACTTCAAGGACTGATCAAGTCCGGCTTCTTCCAAAGCCTTCATAAGGCTGAAGTGCATCAATCTTTTCTAAACTTAGTGTCCAAGCCATTCATTTTATGACTTATGCAGTAAATTGCCTTTGCATTGTTATTTGTATGTATATGTACATGTGTGTTTGTGTTTTCTCAAAGGTTTTTTTTCCTGAGGTATTTTTCCAGCTTCAGAGAGGGCAAAAGTTTAAAGGACCTGGAAACAGGCAGGTGATCTGTGGATCAGGGTAAAAGTAGACAAGTATATGTTATTTTGTGGTTTCTTGTACAATTAAAATCAGCTAATATCTCCAACAGAAAATAAGTGAATTCATAAAATTTGGATTTTGATGTATCACTAATCATCTGTTTAGCAAGAGAATGTGAGCTAAAGAAGTCAGAAGTGACACCAGATCGCCTCTTAGATGTCAGAGTATGAAGCTGGTATCTTGGTTCAGTGGTGGAATTCTCAGTTCCCGTGCAGGAGACCCAGGTTTAGTTGCTGGCCAGGGCACCTCGTGTGCAGACACCACTCATCTGTCGGTGGAGCCTTGCATGTTGCTATGATGCTGACCAAGTTTCAGTGGAGCATCCAGACTCAGAAGAGTTAGGAAGAAAAGCCTGACAATCTCCTGTCGAAAATCAGCCAGTGGAAACACTAAGAATCGAAATGGTCCTATCCCATTGTGAATAGGGTCATCACGAGGTGGGGTGACTCTGCAGCAGCTAACAAAGGCTACAGCTTTGCCGGAGTCCCTGTTGTGCAAGACAGAAAGTGTAAGCGTAAAGTATCTTCGTTAAATTAAAATACTTTGTTATTTTCTTATGAATATTAAGAATTTTAGGAACATTAGAGCTGCTCTTTCAGAGAAAGGAGAAAAACAGCTAATTGTGTGGTCTGATTTCTGTGAAGTATAAAAATTTGAAAAATAACGCAACTTGGTAGTAAAAGGGGAAGATTATGCTTCCTAGCTAATGTCATAACTGTTAAGATATTATGAAATAAGTTGACATATATTTGTCTTAGGGTATATGTTGGAACCAGACCCTGATAAAAGGCCGGATATTTACCAGGTCTCCTACTTCTCATTTAAACTACTCAAGAAAGAATGCCCAATTCCAAATGTACAGGTATGTAAATGGGAAGTGAATATTAAATTGCCATTTATAATCCCTGGGGTGTTAATCAGCCTTGGGAATGAATATAGATGTCCCTTGTTTTATCTGTGAGGAGACATTCAAGCAAAGCTAACTATGAAGCATTCCCTATACAGGGAATCTGTTTTTCCCATGGAATTTAATTATAAAATTGAGACAATTACACTAGGGGAAAAAACTCCCCAGAAATTGAGTTGTATACTTTGGGTAGAGATCAACCAACTACGTGCCTTGTCAGCTTGCACAGTTCTCAGAAAGCCCTTTGTATTTACCTGCTAGGTGGTTAGACTGCTTCCCTGAGGCACGAGCTACACTTGCCTTCTTCCTTTTGGAAGTTATACCCCTTGTTCCTTTTCTCCTTCATTGCAGTAGAGCTTTCTTGATTTTGCTTCTGCTGTTGACAATCTGTAACTCACCTTGCAATTCTTCTGCCCTCCCCATATACATCAGACCATGGGAATGTTTTCTATACTTGATAATCGTTAATTATGCACTCAGTTTTCAGGGTACTATGCTTGCGAACACCTGATAATCTTAGCAGGCACTTGACTGCTAACCAGACTGTTGGCAGTTCAAACCCACCAGCCACTTCGTGGAAGGAAGACTGGGCTATCTACTGCCGTAAAGATTTACTGCCTTGGAAACCCAAAGGGGGTCCACTATGAGTCAGAATTAACTCTAAGGCAGTGAGTTTGGTTTTGGTTTGAGTATAAAGTAACTCTCTTGAGCATTTGATTAATGGATACCGTAATAAATTAGGTTCTAATTTGAAATTTTCTTGCTAGTTTTTTTTAAAATAATGGATTTTTGATGTCATTATTAGGCTTGGGAGTGCAGATAAATAATGCTCTTTCACTCCCTCACTTGGAATCAGATGTGAGGATCATAGTATTGACTTTATTACTAATAAAGTTGAGCCAGAGAACATGGCTTGACCAGTCAGGCTCCCTAACATTAGACTCACATGACTAAGTAGTAAATGCCTGATTCTAGTGTGCTCTTCCATGAAGGAAGGATGGCAAAGGTGAGCACGATGAGCTTTTTTTGTCCCAGTCTTATCAGTCAGATAAGTTATTCTTCTCTTTTGAAGAAGAAATGCCTGAAAGGCAGAGAAGAAGCTAACAGCTTAAGTTTTCTAGCAGAAATTCCTCCCACATGGAAACATAAAGGAAATGGAATGTCCTTCCTAATAGTTTTATAGCTTGTATTTGATTTATTAAGTTTCCCACATTAAAATGAGGATTCCTATATAATAAGCTCATGTGTTTGTGGTCCCACCTTTCCATTCATAAAATTAAATAACATGAAATACGATTGGCAGCATTCGTATTGGTACCAGCATTTTGAAAAAATAAACTTCACCACAAGTCTCAAGTCATTTCTGGTAGCTTAGTGCTCAAGGCACTTGACTGCTAACCAGAAGGCTGGCGGTTCAAACCCACCAGCCACTCCTCGGAAGGAAGATGGGGCAATCTACTTCCATAGTGATACTGCCTCGACAGCACATAACAACAAAAAAGTGATGAGCAATTGTTTTGTGGTTGTGGGCACTGATGCTCCCTCTAGAGGTGATATGAGATGAATGGTGTAGAATCCATGCTAGAGAAGCTGTTTGGCTTGTGAACTGAATGACAGCTCACACATTGGGAAGGGGTGTTGACTGAGCAAGCACATTGATGTCCGTAGTTTTTTCATTCCAATGAGAAGAATGAAAACTCCCTGGTTTGGGACACTAGTCAGCTGGGAGTGAAGCTTAAATAATATTGCAGACGTCTCCTTTTCATTCCTTTCATAGCAACACTTCTGAGCAATGCTGTAGGAAGAGAAGAGTACTGAGATCAAGCACCAGTGACCTGAGCCTGGTCCAGAGGTGGAGGACAATGGAGGAGGAGTGGGCTGGGTACAGGCTGTTCTCTCCTCTTCTCAGATATTTTGCCTCCCCAACTGGGCCTGTGTTGGGTAGGATATGCATTTGGTTAACTTACCTTCTCCCTACCAGAGATCAGGGACTGGAAGCTACTCTGGAAGACTCTGTTATGTATTTGTGTCAGCCATCAGGCTGGTTAATCTTTTACAAAAAAAAGCTGTGATGTCCTTTTTTTTTTTTCTCCCCTCTCTTAATTCTATAGAACTCTCCTATTCCTGCAAAGCTTCCTGAGCCAGTGAAAGCTAGTGAGGCAGCTGCAAAAAAGACCCAGCCAAAGGCCAGGTAAGAATTACCTTAGCACTTACCCTGTTCCAGTTGCTATAGTAGCAGTAGCAGGGATGGATGTCTTGTGTTTCTTGATTCTTCTACTGCCTTGACCCCCAGGCTGCACAGCACAGGGAAACATGCTCTCTCCCCTAGGCAGAAACTGTTCTGGGGGAATATGGGGGAATAATGAAATACTCTAGTCTGCATTTGAAAGAGAATCAAGAACTCTACAGCTGTTTTCCTTGCTTAGGGATAGGCATATGGGCATTCAGAGATGAGGCTCAGCGATGAGGCGTCAGCAGACTTTAAAGGTTGTCTAGTACAAGTATCCTAAACATGTGTCCTGCCTGAGTTTAGCATCGCTTACCACCCCAGTCCTCCTCCCCTTTTCCTTCTTTTCTATAACTCCAGCCACATTAGGAAAGTACAGATCAGAGCACTGAATCAATGAACAGCACTTTCTGTGTTAGTTGGGGTCTTCTGAGAAGCAGTTACCGAGAGAGGGTTAAACAAAGAATTTTATTAGGGAGTATGTTCCTGTGAGAGAAGATAGGGAGGGAGCCAGGAAAGGCTGAGGAGAGCCATCAGAAAGTGGTATAATCTGACCCAGAGAAAGCAGGGAGGTTGGGTGGAAGTGACCTAGGCTGCCCCACCCTACAAGTTGACCATCAGAGGACTCCCCCATCTTGCAGAAAGGAGACTGCCTTCCTCGCCCTGCAGTATTCAGTTGACAGGGAGCAGCCTGTTAGAAGCATGGCCTCAGAGCATACATGGCAGTGACTGAGAGCACAGCCCATGAGGTACTTGTTCATTTACACCCCTGGAGTTAAAAGTCTGCAAGGCACATTCTCATGACTGCCACACCTTTCAAGTAGCAAATTCTAGGGGTGGCCCAGGGGATGTTTATACCACTTTTTTTCTATCACATTTCCATGGCAGGGAAATAATTAACTGTCAACACAGTATCCAGATAAGAATGTGTGGAGTTTAATAGAACAGGAAAACAACTTCTATATATAAAAAAGAATCTTGAATCTTTATAGACTGCTTGTATGCGTAGAGCTATACCAGATATGGCTGTAAAGTAATGAGACGTTGGTTTTTAAAAAAACTTAGTAAACCTCATATTCATGTTCTTATTTTGCAGTCTTTTGATTTCTTAAGGTAATTCTGGCATGCTTACCTTTTTTAGACTTGATTTTGGAGCTAGGCTAAGAAAAGATCCCTTTCCTAATTCCCACAAAGGACACATTAAGAATTACAGTAACCACTATTTGCATGATACTCAGTTGTTTGCACAGTGATTTCATTTGTGTTATTATGTTTGATGCCAGTCCTAAGAGGTGTTTTTTTTTTTTTCCCCATAAACTCTCCTTTTATTGTAGTCACACTATTATTCATTGAGGCATCATATGTCCCAGATATCATGCTAGGTACTTAACATAAATGATAATAACTCCTCCCTCCCCCTTAAAATAAGCTTATGAGGTAGTGGTGGTTTTTATTCTCATTTCACAGGTGAGGGTTAGAGACTCAGAAGTGTTAACTGCCCAAAGCAGTTAGTTGGTCAGTGGCAAGTAAAAGGCAGAATCATCTCCTAAATTCATACTCTTTCTACTGTGCACATTAAGTGATAGGGCTAAGATCACACAGCTAGGATGACTTAGACCTAGACATCCTGGCTGCAAAGTCTGTATTTTCTTGCAGCATATTGAGTTTCATGCACACAGCTTGGGCATGCTACAGTTTGAAAAATGGCTTCACAAGAAGAATGCAAAAAAATAAATAAATAATAAGGGCATTTAGAAGCAATCAGCCCTAGGACACGATGGCCCTTGAGACCAGAAGAACTAGATGGTGCCTGGCTACCAATGCCAACCACTCAGGAAAGGATCAAATCTGGAGATCCTGGATAGAGTGGGAGGGAAAACATGGAACAAAATCCAAAAACTCAATTATGACCAGAATTACTAGTCAGAGGAAATCTGGCGAGACTCCCAATACTATGGCCCTGGAATAAATTCTGTGCCTGGAATAAAACTCACCCCAGGGGTAGGCTCTCAGCCCAATAGTTAACAAGATGTACACGCAGACCTCACAACCCAGGATGACACAGCCACATAATCTGTGGTAATACATCCCTTAGAGCAATAGACCATGGGACACCAGAGGACCAACATTCAAATTGAGGAAATGCAGGACAAACAGGAGTGCATAATTATGAGGGGCACAGAGGGAGGGTTGCAGGGTAGGGTTGGACATGGTGAATGGGGAATGAAACTAAATGTACGTGTTACATTGAATGTAAAACAAGCTCTTAAAATAAATAAATGAGGGGAAAATAATTTAAAATGGCTTCACAGTCATCGAGCATATCTGCCTTATGGAGTAGGTATTGTTTTCTCACTTTCACACTTAAGAGACCTAAGGCCGGAAGAGGCAAAGTGACATGTTCATTGTTACACAGTAAGTGGGGAGCTGGAGCTCAAAAGTAGTTTTCTTTGACTCTACATCCCATTGTCTCTAAAACGAAGAAGATCAACTTAAAGGCTGTCTTTTTTTTTTTTTTTTGCAGTAAAATACACATAGTAAAACCTTCACCAATTCAACAGTTTCTACCAGTATAATTTAATAACATTACATTCTTCATGTGTGTAACTTGTATTGTTATGGAGAGAGACTTTGTAAAAAAAAAATGTATAAAAATGTATTGTAAAATATATACAGTAAAAGAATTTGCCATTTTAATTATTTTTAAGTATACAATTTAGTGACATTGTTGTTGTTGTTGTTATTTGCCGTCGAGTCGGCCCCGACTCATAGCGACCCCTCTTTGGGTTTCCGAGGCAGTATCACTACGGAAGTAGGATTGCCCAACCTTCCTTCCAAGAAGTGGCTGGTGGGTTTGAACCGCCAGCCTTCTGGTTAGCAGTCAAGTGCCTTAGGCACTATGCTACCAGAGCTCCTTTAGTGACATTAGTTCCATGCATCATGTTGTACAACTATTACCACTATTTCCAAAAAGTTTTCATCAACCCAAGCACACCTTAAATAATAACTCTCCATTCCCTACTCTTCCCAGAGCCTGGTAAGCACTAATAACTTTGGTCTCTGTACATTTGCCTATTCTAGATATTTCATGTAAGTGGAACATGGAGGCATTTAGCATTTGGATTTCTATAGACATCTGTTCCCCTCCTTTACCCTTGGCTGTATCATTATTACACCTTCTCCTTTTCTCCATCATCTGTCTTATTTTCGTTCTCACATTTCTTCCCTAGGTTACAGCCTCTTCCAAATGTGATAGCTTCTGTATACCACTTCTCTACCATCACAAGAGCATCCCACTAGCAGGATGCCTAATGAAAAGCCTCTGGGCCATAGTAGACATACCTTGGAGGCATGTGTAGGAAAGGCTGGGGCCAGCTACTTTGCTTCCCGTTTTATATTTCATGGAGGGTGTACCTAACATATTGCCTGACATGTTTTGGAAGTATTCATGAAGCTTGTTTATTTTGGTCTTAATGTCCTCTACATACTCCCTAAAGTACACTTTCAAAACATAGTTGACTCTGGTCTGAGTTAGATAATAGCCAAATGCTTGGACTGCTAGAAAATGAATGGAGGTTACCACCTAAGCTTCAGCATCATCACAGGGAACAAGCGGACCGCATGGTACTCTTCTGTTTGGATTCTATTTGGCTGTGAGTTATAGAAAGTCCAAAATGTTGTTGTTATTAGGTGCTGCCGCGTCAGTTCTGACTCGTAGTGACTCTGTATACAACAAAACAAAACACTGCCCAGTCCTATGCCTTCCTCACAATCATTGAGCCCATTGTTGCAGACACTGTGTCAATACATCTTAATGAGAGTCTTCTTTTTGACTGACCCTCTACCTTACCAAGCATGATGTCCTTCTCCAGGGACTAGTCCCTCCTGATAACATGTGCAAAGTATGTATGTGAGACAAAGTCTCACCATCCTTGGTTCTAAGGAGAATTCTGGCTGTACATATTTCTTCATTCTTCTGATAGTCCATGGTATATTCAATATTCTTCACCAACACCATAATTCAAAGGTACCAACTCTTCTTCAGTCTTCCTTATTCACTTATTCATTGTCCAACTTTCACAAGCATATGAGCCAATTGAAAATACTATGGAATGGGTTAGGTACACTTTAGTCCTCAGCATGACATCTTTGTTTTTTAACACTCTAAAGAAGTCTTTTGTAGGAGATTTCCCCAATACATCATTTGATTTCTTGACTGCTGCTTCCTTGGGCACTGATTGTGGATCCAAATAAAATGAAATCCTTGACAATCTTAATATTTTCTCCATTTATCATGATGTTGCTTATTGGTCCAGTTGTGAGGATTTTTGTTTTCCTTATGTTGAGGTATAATCCATACTGAAGGTTACAGTCTTGGATTCATCAGTAAGTGCTTCAAGTCCTTTTCACTTTCTGTAAGCAAGATTGTGTCATCTGCATATCACAGGTTGTTAATGAGTCTTCTTCAAATACTAAGGCCATGTTCTTGTTCATATAGCCCAGCTTCTAGGATTATTTGGTCAGCATATAGATTGAATAAGTGTGATAAAAGGATCCAACCCTGATGTACACCTTTCCTGATTTTGAACCACACAGTTCCCCTTGTTCTGTTCAGATGACTGCCTTAGTCTTAGTACAGATTCCACATTAGCACAATTAAGTGTTTTGGAATTCCCATTCTTTCCAATGTCATCCACAATTTGTTATGATTCACACAGTCAGATACCTTTGCATAGGCAATAAGACATAGGTAAACATCTTTCTGGTATTCTTTGCTTCTGTGAATCTAGGAAAATTGGAAGTTGTCAAAAATGAAATGGAACACATGAAGATCGGTATCCTAGGCATTAGTGAGCTGAAATAGACTGGTATTGGCAATTTTTAATCAGACAATAATATGGTCTACTATTCCAGGAAATAGTCTACTATGACAAATTGAAGAGGAACAGTAGTATTGCATTCATTGTCAAAAAAAACATTTTCAAGATCTGTCCTGAAGTACAGTGTTGTCACATGCCTACAAGGAAGACCAATTAATACAACTATTATTCAAATTCAAATTAATACAACTATTATACACCAATCACTAATGTTAAAAATGAATAAATTAAAAATTTTTACCAACTTCTGCAGTCTGAAATTGGTCAAATGTGCAATCAAGATGCATTGATAATTACTGATGATTGGAATGTGAAAGTTGGAAACAAGAAGGATCAGAATTTGGAAAATACTATCTTGGTGATGGAAACAACACCTGAGTTTGCATAATGGAATTTTGCACGACATGACCTGTTCTTGTTAGGTGCTATCTAATTGGTTCCCACTCTTAGTGACCCTGTGTATGACAGAACAAAACACTGCATGGTCCTGCACCATCTTCACAGTCGTAGCTCTGCTTAAACCCATAGTGGTAGGCACTGTGTCATTCTCTCTCATTGAGGGTCTTCCGCTTTTTCTTTGATCCTTTGCTTTACCAAGCATGATATCTTGCTCCAGGGACTGGTCCCTTATGACCAACCACATGACCAAAGTACATCAGGAAAGGCTGTACTTCTTCCAAGACAAATTTGTTCATTCATCTGGCAGTCCATAGCATTTTCAGTATTCTCTGTGAAAAGCACAGTTCAAATGGGTCAATTCTTCTTCAGTCTTCCTTATTCGTTGTCCAGGTTTCACATGCTTATGAGGCTATTGAAAATACCATGGCATGGGTTAGGTACACCATAGTCTTCAAGCTGACATCTTTACTCTTTAACACTTTAAAGAGGTCTTTTGCAGCAGATTTTCCCTCTGCAATATGTCATCTGATTTCTTGACTGCTGCTTCCATGGGCATTGATTGTGAATTCAAGTAAAATGAAATCCCTGACAACTTCAATCTTTTCATCACTTATCATGATGTTGCTTATTAGTCCAATTGTGAGGATTTTTGTTTTCTTTATGTTGAGGTATAATCTATATGGAAAGCTGTAGTCTTTGATCTTCATCAGTAAGTGTTTCAACTCATCTTCACTGTCAGCAAACAAGGTTGTGTTGTGTGCATATCACAGGTTGTTAATGAGTCTTCCTCAAATCCTGATGCAATGTTCTTCTTCTTATATCCCAGCTTCTCTGATTATTTGCCCAGCATACAGATTGCATAAAGATCAATATCCTAGGAATTAGTGAGCTGAAATGGACTGGTATTGGCCATTTTGAATCAGATAATCATGTGGTCTACCGTGCCAAGAATGAAAAATTGAAGAAGAGGAATGGTGTCACATTCATCATCAAAAAGAACATTCCAAGATCTGTTCTGCAGTATATTGTCAGTGATAGGATAATATCCACATGCCTACAAGGAAGATCAGTTAATACAACTGTTATTCAAATTTACACACCAACCGCTCAAGCCAAATGTGAAGAGATTGGAGATTTTTACCAAGTTCTGCAGTCTGAAATTGACCAAACATGCAGTCAAGTGCAAAAGTTGGAAATAAAGAAGTATCAGTGGTTGGAAAATATGGCATTGTTGAAAGAAATGATGCCAGAGACCATATGATAGAATTTTGCAAGACTAATGACTTATCATTGCAGATACCTTTTTCCAACAACATAAATGGAGACTATAGCCATGGACCTCACCATATGGAATATACAGGAGTCAAATCAACTACATCTGTGAAAAGAGGCAATAGAGAAGTTCAATGTCATCTGTCAGAACAAGGCCAGGAGCTGACTGTGAAACAGACCCTCAGCTGCTCATATGCAAGCTGAAGTTGAAGCTGAAGAAAATTAAAACAAATACACAAGAGCCAAAATACAACTGATTATATCCTACCTGAATTTAGAGACCATCTGAAGAATAGATTTGACGCATTGAACAGCAGTAACCAAAGACAAGTTGTGGAGTGGCATTAAGGACATAAAGAAAGCAAAAGGTCATTAAAAAGACCAGTGACCTATTCATTGGAAATACCTTTTTTCAGCAGTGTTAATGATCACTTTACACATGGATCTCACCACATGGTGAGCAATGGAATCAACTACACCTGTGGAAAAAGATGATGGAGAAGCTCAGTCTCATCAGTTGGACAAAGACCAAGGGCTGACTGTGAAACAGACTATCAGTTGCTCATATGCAAGCTCAAGGTGAAATTGAAGAAAATTGAAACAATTCCATGAGAGCTGAAGTACAACCTTGAGTATATCCCATCTCAAGAATAAATTTGACACATTGAACACTAATGACAGAAGATCAGATGAGTTGTGGGAGGCCATCATACACGAAGAAAGCAAAAGAATCACCGGAAAGAAAAAAGACAGAATTCTGAATCGGAAGAAATTCTAAAACTGGCTCTTGATCATAGAGTAGCTAAAGTGAATGGAAGTCCAAATTAGCAGTGGCTTATAAAAGATAGATTTTTTTTCCTTGCCAATAAACAAAGTCTGGTGGTAAGCAGTCCAGGAGCAGTTCTGCTCCTTGAAGCCCTCAGTAAATCAGGCTTCTTCATGCTCACCAGTCTGCCATCCTTATGTGTGGCTGTGATATCGTGGACCAATATGGCAGCATCCCTCTTCCAACCAACAGGATCAAGACTAGCCAAAGAAGTGTGGCAAAGAGAATATGTTAGTCATTTCTTAAGGGTATTAGAAACTGGCATGTAATGAACTGCTTACGTCCCACTAATACATAGACACACAGCCAGACCTGGTTGCAAGAGAAGCTGGGCAATGTAATTTTCACTCTGGGTGACCCTATACCTAACTGAAAATCTTATTACCAACAAAGAAAGAGAGTATGTGTATGGAGGAAATGGATTCCTGTCACACTCCCGAATCCTTTATTTTGAATTATTTACTTCTTTCTCGTTGTCTTATTAAATACATTCATTTATGTACTTTCATTGTAGGGAGACCATTTGACAGCTAGTTCTAACCAAGTTTGAGTTCCTTCTACGTACGAAATAATTGATCTCAAACCCCTCTTTGCATCATTACCCAAAGTGTATTCTGGGAAATCCTACAAGGTAATGTGGGTAAAAGGATCCCCAGATCAAATATGTTTGAGAAGCATTCCATTCTATATTCTTTTTGAGGTTCTCCATGAATATTCACACATAAAAAGTTCTAAGATGTTCTGAAGGAAAGAAATCTGCTCAAGTGTATTTTGAAGTTTGTTAAACACTTGCTTGCCCACTGTTTTGGTTATCTAGGGCCACTTAACAGAAATACCACAAATGGGATGGCTTTAACAAACAGGAATTTATTCTTACAGTTCTGGAGGCTAGAAGTGTGAGTTCAAGATGCCAGCCTCTAGGGGCTGGGTGAAAGCCCCTTGGTCTTGGGCGTCAGCTCTGCCTCTTGCTCCCATCCCACTGAAGCTAGAGGTATCTCTTCACTCAGGCAGCTGCTGGCTGCTGAGGGTGACAAACCCAAGGTCGACAACTGAAAAGGCACAGTCCCAGTATTACCAAATCACACGGCAAACTGTTGATTCAATCCATTAGAAGTCCCAAGATCAGCAGAGCATGGAAGCCTGCTTCATAAAGACTTGGCTATATGCAGGGTTCAAGCATGCAAAAAAGCTAGAGACCTTCCTCAAAGCTACTTCTTATATACTGGAAGCAGACCACATCTCTAAAGCAGCTACTCAGCTGCTCCAGTAGATTCCACCATGGAACTGACTGTCACTCTCACCATGGGGAATAACTACATCCAGCTGCCCAGCCACTCAGCCAGACCCAGACAAATTGACAACAACCATAACTACTACACCCACAAATTTTTTTTTTTTCTCATAACATGTATTCCTATGGAATACCCTTTGGGAAATGTTGATCAAACATATCTGGAAGGTTTGAATGGGTATTGAGGGGAAAACATCATAGACACTGCTTACCCTGTCTCTATTTTCCTGCACTTTAACATGTTTCTGTTTTTCTTTTACTTTTCTAGATTGACAGATCCCATTCCCACCACAGAAACTTCAATTGCACCCCGCCAGAGGCCTAAAGCTGGGCAGACTCAGCCCAACCCAGGAATCCTTCCTATTCAGCCAGCTCTGACACCTCGTAAGAGGGCCACAGTTCAGCCCCCATCTCAGGCCGTGGGTCAGTAAATAGATTGGTTTGGAACATAGTGTACCTGAGTAATTTCAGGATAATAGAAAACTCTTAGAAAATCTGGTTTTGCTTCAGGAAGACTAGGTAGATAAAGAATAATGGTTTTCCTTAAGAAGAAGGTGAGCTGCCATTAAAATTGTATGACAAGTGCTTAGAAAAAGAAACACTTCTCATTGAATTGCCAAATGGTTCTCCAAGACTACTGAAGTCTCTTGTCTCTATTTTTTCTAGACTTGGCCCTGATTTTGTGGTTTGGTCCATTAATCCCCTACCTACTTCTTTATTTCATACACTTCTTATGCTTCATGTGCCTTTAAAGAAGTAAGACTCATCTCTTTTTGATACTCCACAGATATTGTTTCTTTAATGCTTTGTCTCTTGAACTATTTATCTTCCTTCCATGTTTTGCTATTCTTTTTGTAATGAGTTGACTGAGCTAGGTTTTATAATGAGGATTGATCCAGATTTTCAGTTAACTGAACACAGCCATCCCTTTCCAACCAGAAAGCTGCTTTTGGTAAATTTGGTGGCCACCTACTTATAGCCAGGCATAAAGATTAGAGTTGTGTACTTCCATGCAAAACATTCTGTTACATTAAAGAATCCCTCCATCATACAGCATTCCAACAAGTGCCAAGATTTTGTTTATATACAGTAGCCTCAAAGGCCATTTGAAGATGTTGATACTCAGGGTGCTGACTAAGGGAGGAATTGACAAAGTGGGCTGATGAATAAGGGAAGACTTTCTGAAGAGGAAAATATTGAATCTTGTTATTGAACCTTGTTTTGAAAGATAGGAAACACCTAGTTTGGCAGGAAGAAGGAAAGACATTCCCGGTGGGGTAGAGCATGTGTGAAAATACCGAGGAGTTCATGGATCTTAGGATCATCTGCCCACTTACCATCCCCTCTTTATTCCTTTGGCAAGAAATACAGTGATTTTGTCTGAAAGAGTTTTGAGACTTTATATGGAGTTTATTCTCATTGCAGGACCCAGCAGTCAGCCTGGCCTTTTAGCCAGTGTTCCCCAACCAAAAACCCAGCCCCAACCCAGCCAATCTCTACCACAATCTCAGCCCAAGCAGCCACAAGCTCCGCCCACCCCTCAGCAGCCGCCTTCGACTCAGGCTCAGGGTCTGCCCACTCAGGCCCAGGCCACACCCCAGCACCAGCAGCAACTCTTCCTCAAGCAGCAGCAACAGCAGCAGCAACCACCACAACAACCAGCAGGCACATTTTACCAGCAGCAGCAGCCGCAGCAGGCCCCAGCTCAGCAGGTAAGGTGCTCAGAGCCTGATCCTTGCTTTGCAAATCTGAGTCCTCACTGTGAAAGACCAGTTAGGTACAGGATCTTCCTTGGGGAGTTGGTTTGTTTGAATCAGGATCCAAATAAGATCCACATACTGTATTTACTTATTCCTTCTAATTGCCTTATTAAACCCACTTATTTGCATGCTTTTATTATGTTGTTGTTTGCCATCGAGTCAGACCCGACTCATAGTGACCCCTCGGGTTTCCGAGGCAGTATCACTACGGAAGTAGGTTGCCCAATCTTCCTTCAGAGGAGTGGCTGATGGGTTTGAACCTCCAGCCTTCTGGTTAACAGTCAAGTGCCTTAGGCACTATGCTACCAGAGCTCCTTGCTTTTATTATACAGAGCCCATTTTGTCAGCTAGTTCTAATCAAGTTTGAATTCCCTCTACATATGAAGCCATCTGTCTCACCATGTATTTTTTTCCATTATCATTTCAATTTTTTTTTTTTCACAATTTTTACTATGGGAATCATATATTTCTTTTATAATGATTGATATATCTTTTAAGCCCCCTTTTATCCATTGGGTTTCCTCTCCCTTTTTTTTTTAACCCTTTTTTCCATTTATTCATTATTTTTAAGAAACTTGGTCATAACCCCGTTGCTCAACTTACAGCCAAATAACAGGCCTATGAGGTAAACAATAACACCAGGGAGGTATGTCTGCCTTAGATCAACCATACGAGATCAAAAGAGCAGTGTTTGCCCAGGGATGAAGTTCAGAAGGTAGGAAGGGATATGAAAGAGACAAATGGAAAATGTAACCAGAGGGATAATGTGGGAAGAGTGTGGGGACTACATTCAGTGTCATGAAACAAAACGTGTATGAACAGTTGAATGGAAAAACCAGTATGCTCTGTAAACTTTCACTCAAATCACAAAAAAAAAAGCTAAAGGAACGGAAGAAAGAAACTTGGTCATGTGTCCTGTGGAATTTTCTACATTCAGGATTTGGCTGATAGTATCCCTGTACTGTCATTTAATATGTTCCTCTATCCCCTGTGCCTAAGGCATTTGACTGCTAACCAGAAAGCTAGCGGTTCAGACCCACCAGCCACTCCTCAGAAAGAAGGCTGGGCATTCTACTTCCACAGTGATACCACCCAGAAACCCAAAGACAGGTTGCTATGACTCAGGTCCAACTCAACAGCAGTGTGTGGTTTTTTTTGTTTTTTTTTTAATCCCTGGGGAGCTAATTTCATGAAAATTGATCAGTATTAGATTCAGTTTAGCGGTGTTTATTTTTCCTGTCCTATACTGGGAAGCATATAATATCTGCTTATCCTTTCTTTTAGTAATATTAAGATCAGTCAATGGCTATAGGTAATGTCTGTTGAATCCATTGGTTTAATGTTCCTCCTCAGCTTAGTAGTCATTATTTGTTATTTCCTGAATCCATTAATTAGTTTATTCAGGTTAGCAAATAATGATATTGTAGCATTACTTCTTTAATTAAAGGCTTTAATTAAATTTTATAGGAAGAACTTTATCAACTATTTGATTACCCTGAGGTACTGCTATTTATACCAAAAAGGCAGGACAAATGCTTGATTCTTTCTCTTTGTTCACAAATTTTCGGAATATTAAGTTTGTTCCTGATATCATCCAAAGAGGAACAATGAGGTGCTTGGTTCTTTTGAATCATTATGAACTCATAGATATTAACATATTTGGTGTGTTTTAGTAATTGCCGTTTTTAGAAAATTATTTATCTTGATGCTCAAATTGTCCCTATTTTGGCCAGTATAACCAGCTGAACCAGGCTCATTCTGCACTGGACCATTTCTCCAAGGAGCTTTGTCTCCCTTTAATGGAAATGGTGGTTAGAGACCATAATCTTAGTGCTAGGGATATGCATCTGCTAATGGGTTGGTTATTGGTTATTGTTTCTAGGACTTCTCAGTAGACAGCTGCTAAGAAATATGTTTTGTTTTGTTAAGAGAATATACATCATGAGTTCAGATTTATATTCCCAGTTCAGATTTGGGATTACAAAGTTTTTGTTTAATTTATTGGATTTTGTGTTTGTATTTTTCTCATCTGGAAATCTTGATTCTCAACAACGTTAACATAATTACTTATTTGATTTATAGTTTCAGATTAATGGTATCAATGTAATTACTGAAAAAGTTTAAAGTTGTCTTGCCCTTTTTAACCCTTATGATCTTAACCACATTATATCTTGGGGAAAGCTGCCAATTTTATACACAGTTAACTTTATTTGTTTTATTTTCCTTTTGAGTTTTGCTATTGCTTTTCAGACTTTGAAATAATTTTGTTTTATGAATATGTAAAACATTTACATAGATCCAGAGTTAAATCTGCAAAATTCTATTTCCTCCATCCCATATATAAAGATACTCTCCATTCCTATTTACAAAATGTTCCATCTTAAACATATATCATAGTTTACTCAATCTGTCTCCTCATGACAGACAGTTGAGTTGTTTCAAGCATTTTGCTGTTATAAATAGGCAGCTATTTTTGACATCTGTTTCTTTGCTAACCCTTTGACTTTGCCCCAAAAGGCAAACAATATTGTCTCTGTTAACTTTATAACTGAATAACAGTATTTAGGCTATTCAAAGATAAGATCCTAACTTTTTTTCATCAGTAGGTCCTTTTGAGCGTTGTTTGTGTGCCTAGCACATAATCCCTAGCAATGGGTAATAAACATTTATAAGAAGTGGTCCTTATCCTTAGGAAGCTTACAAGAGAATATAACTTGAGACAATTGGTTACCGTATAATAGAAAATATCAATAAATGTCATAGAGTATACTGAATATTTTGAATGTTTAAAGACTGTGCTATTGGGAAACAATTTCAGAGTATCTTGAGAGGCGTCTTAATAGCTGACTTGGCATTTAGGTTATTCTTTCTGTGCCATCGTCATTTCATTCTATTCATGTAGAGAAGCACTTTATTTTTGGCTACTTCCAAATTCCTCTGTAGAGATTACTTCTGAAAAGAGAATAGCAAACTGACTGTGGCTGGAAGAACATTCTGTCACACTCCAGCTTGTGGTTTGCATGATCTTTAGTCAGGTAGGTTCTCTCAGGCTAAGTCATAGAAACCCACTAGGAAGCTCAGTTGATAGTATAGAAAGCAGCCCAGTGCATTGGCTTTAAAAAAAAAAAAACAAACTCAGTGCCATCGAGTTGGATCTGACTCATAGCGACCCCTCCTTGGGTTTCCAAGGCAGTATGTCTATGGAAGTAGATTGCCCAGCCTTCCTTCTGAGGAGTGGCTGGTGGGTTTGAACCACTAGTCTTCTGGTTAGCAATCAAATGCCTTAGGCACTACACCACCAGAGCTCCTAGTGCATTGGCTAGGGCCTGGCAACGTAAGGCACTGCTGTTTTTATTGGAATCCCTTTGAGGTTCCCATTATGAGTTTTTAGGCTCTGGCTTTTGGCTTCCAGGACTGTTCTTAGCTGTTACTGAGACATTCGTCTTTTGTGGTATGTGGTTCCAGGACAGGAGCAGGCCATTATGCACTTCCTCATTTCTTGCTACTGTCTCCTGCTCAGTTTCAGGCAGTCCATCCAGCAACCCAGCAACCAGCGATTACTCAGTTCCCTGTGGTGGCCCAAGGAGGTTCTCAACAGCAGATGATACAGAACTTCTACCAGCAGCAGCAGCAACAGCAGCAACAGCAACAGCAGCAGCAGCAGCTGGCCACAGCTCTGCATCCACAACAGCTGATGACTCAGCAGGCTGCCCTGCAGCAAAAGACTGCTGTGACAGCAGTACAGCAACCCCCAGCACAATCATCAGCCCCACAGCCAGCCCCTGCTCAGGAGCCAGTGGTAAGGAATCAGCCAGGGCTCAAAATGCAAAAACAGAGGGGGAGCATGCAATGAGGTTAGGGAAAGGGCAGAGAAGAAGCAGCAGTAGCTGGTGGGGAGGGCCTGTGGGCTAGGGCCAAATGGCTTCTCCACCCTAGTGGTTAAAATATTTGATCCTGTTTTGGTACATCCAAGGACGAAGTATTCTGTAAAATGTAGACATTTTTTAAAAATAATTCTAAGCTACTGGTAACAGTGAACATTCTTATTTATCACTCTGAAATTAGACTGGCAAGGAAAGTGGTTCATTGTGTCATTGCCACTGTTGAGCAGTCAAAGACCTCACTAGGATTAAAGCTAATCCCTTTACTTCCAAGAGACAGTTTGATCATTTGTGATCTTTGTAGTCTCCAGTGGTTCATGTGGGCCCTCACCTTTACTGCATCCTGGCAGTGTTGCTTATTCTTTGTCTTGGATGACATTACTAGCCTACTGTGCAGAACCCTTCAATGTACCATGACCTGGTCCCTCTGGGCCCTAGAGTATCTACATATCCATATATTTGAGCCACACTTTAGAAGTTGGGCATGTCTACTTCTAGATATCAGCTACATGTAGCCTTAGAACACTTCTATCCTGCCTTGATTGATCTCTATAGTTTTGGGATCCTCAGGCACATAGTACTTTGGCATTTAGTAAATGACCTTTATTCTGTACAGAGATTTTTCTACTTAGCTCTCCAGTTTTATACTGATAGAAAATGACATTCTACATACCAAGCTGATAGAGTATCACTGCTGCTCTGTTATTCGCACAGGAGTCCAACTCCTAGATGAGGCAAAAGTAAGAAACCATCTTTCCGAGGACTGGTTTCTAATAGAGTTTTATAACCCATTTTAAACCAGGAAACCTATCCCTTCAAAAGAAAGCAGTGCCATAAATAGATTGTCTTCTTTAAGTCTCAGCTAAGTGTGTATTCAGTGTCGTTACACCTTTCTTTCTGAAACAACTCATCTTTCCTGCAAGAGTGTGGTAGACAGCTATTCTTGTATTTTTAACAAAAGGAAGTTCCTCTTTAATGAAGCAAGAGTTTATATATAT